GTCCTGCCCTTCGGGTCCTTTGGAGAATAGCTTGACCCCATGGCAGCTCCTAAGAGTGGATGGTTTCCCAGGGTTATCACGTCACTCCTCGTTCTCCCTTTCTCTACACTACTTTTGAACAAGTTCAATTCCTCTCTGTCACAGGGCAGTCTTTCTTCCGCTAAATTTTTGGATCCCGAACAATTCGATGGAATGCAAAATACTGTATTTTGCGCTAAAAGAACGGGGAAATGTTGGTGCATCTTATACACCAAATACAGCCATTTTTGGCCCCACCCCTGAATCCCATTTTTGCAAAAAAAACGGAGGCATCTTTGCCTTCCCGCAACCCTCAGCAGCACTCTGCAGGCTTCAGCAGGGCTGGGAGATGGCAAACATGCCTCCGTGTTTTGCAAAATATGGCCCGTTTTCCGCCAAAGGGGTCGTTTTTGCCTTCCCCCAGCCCTCCTGAAGCCTACAGAGCACTGCTGGGGGCCGGGGAGGACAAAAACTTTTTTTCCTTACTTGCCTCTTCGAAATCTTGGTGTGTCTTATAGTCCAAAAAATACGGTACCTACTATAGGAATCTGCTTTCAAGGACAGATTCAGGACAGCCCAGGGAGAAGTTTTGGGGAGTTTTGTCATCCACCAAGAGCTGCAGGGGGCCTTAGCTGAAATGCATTCCTCGCTTGTGCTTCCTTGGCCCCAAGCACGTCCGCGGGGGTGGATGGAAGTGTGTGGGTGGGGGTATTTTACTCCGTGCCATGACTATATTGTGGGAACGGTCCCCTTTTCCTTCTCCCAAGGGGTCTCTTGAATAGGGGGTCTTGTTTTACGTTCATTAGTTCTGCCTCCAGCGCTAATTAATAACATGAGGGGGGGGTCTTCTTTTTCTTTTTATCAGCCTAGATTTAGGCCTTCCTGCCTCCCGAATCGCAATTCTGCTTTGAGGCAGAAAGAAACTGAGCCTGAAAGAGAGAGGGGTGTTTTCCTAGAGAGTGAATGCAAAATCCCCAGGTTCAAATCGGGAAATTCTCACGGACTCCCTTCCTCTCCTTCAGGGAATCTGTTTTCGGATGCGATTCTTAGCAAGGAGGGAGATTAAATTGGGCTGTTTTTATGGGGTCATTTTTAGAAGGCATTAGGTGGTTTGAACTCTTTTAAGCTGAATAGGAATGCTGATTATTATCTCTTTTATTCATTAAACATGAAACTCGGTCAACTGAACATTCAAATATGTGTCACAAATACCATTGACTGGCGCTAATCGTTGATACGGGTTGCTGCCAGCATCCTAGGTATCAACTTAATTATTAGTCAATTAGTCAATATTAGTCAATTAGTCAATATTAGTCAATTAGTAGTCCATTTTAATATATTAAATTTATATTAAATTATTAAATTAATAGTCAATATTAGCCAATTAGTCAATAAGTCTATTATTATTATTATTTCTTCTATGCAATAAACATGAAACTCAAGTCAACTGAACATTTAAAGATGTGTCACAAATCCCATTGACTAGCGCTGATGCTTGATAGGGGTTTCTGCCAGCGTCCTAGGCATCAACCAAGGACCTTCTTAAAATATAAGACTATTATTATTATCTCTTTCGTTCATTAAACATGAACCTCAAGTCAACTGAACATTCAAAAATGTGTCACAAATACCATTGACTGGCGCTAATGGTTGATACGGGTTGCTGCCAGCATCCTAGATATCAACTTAATTATTAGTCAATTAGTCAATATTAGTCAATTAGTCAATATTAGTCAATTAGTAGTCAATTTTAATATATTAAATTAATATTAAATTATTAAATTAATAGTCAATATTAGCCAATTAGTCAATAAGTCTATTATTATTATTATTATTTCTTCTATTCAATAAACATGAAACTTAAGTCAACTGAACATTTAAAGATGTGTCACAAATCCCATTGACTGGCGCTGATGCTTGATAAGGGTTTCTGCCAGCGTCCTAGGCATCAACCAAGGACCTTCTTAAAATATAAGTCTATTATTATTATCTCTTTCATTCATTAAACATGAAACTCAGTGAACTGAACATTCAAAAATGCGTCACAAATACCAGTGACTGGCGCTAATCGTTGATATGGGTTGCTGCCAGCATCCTAGATATCAACTTAATTATTAGTCAATTAGTCAATATTAGTCAATATTAGTCAATATTAGTCAATTAGTAGTCAATTTAATATATTAAATTAATATTAAATTATTAAATTAAATTAATAATTTAATTAAATTAATTAAATTAATTAAATTAATAGTCAATATTAGCCAATTAGTCAATAAGTCTATTATTATTATTATTATTTCTTCTATTCAATAAACATGAAACTTAAGTCAACTGAACATTTAAA